TTATTTCTTACTGTATATACTGATTATTAAAATTTCCTGGGGGAATTTCACATACAGAAACCAGATATAACACTGAGGACCTAGCAGATGATTTGCATTTTTGAGTAATAAGGCTTAAGTCACGAAATGGATTTGTCTTTATTCCTTTATCCGTATTCCATTGGGAACTGCAGTTGTGAAGGAGCTGAGTAAGGTTAGGCTCGCAGACTAGGCCCCTGCAACTCGATGAGGCTAACTTAAACAAATGGCAACTGACCCATCAACTTTGACCTCGGCCACTGCGTGGTCTAAACAACTGGGCCCTGCTAGCATCTGAATGAGACATAATGAATAAATTCTCTGGCACTGAAAGTTTGATTTTGTTTTGTTTTTAGAATTCCCTATTCACTTAGCCAAACTGATCAAATGCATTTCATTTTTTTTTTTTTTTTTTTTTTTTTTTTGTTTGTTTGTTTTTCGAGACAGGGTTTCTCTGCGTAGCTTTGCGCCTTTCCTGGAGCTCACTTGGTAGCCCAGGCTGGCCTCGAACTCACAGAGATCCGCCTGGCTCTGCCTCCCGAGTGCTGGGATTAAAGGCGTGCGCCACCACCGCCCGGCTTGCATTTCATTTTTAAAATTGCATGTGCTATATAGTTTCCCATCCACTATAGCTAAAAAGTACGTAGTGCTCAAATATAGAAACAAAAATGGTATGCAAGCCATAGGAGCTTTTGTAAAAAAAATTTTTAATAGCTATGAAGCTTTCTAAAGTGCAATACACACACACTAGACTACTACTGCCCTCAATAGGAAAGCATATAGCATAGGAAATCCACTCATATGCACAATAGCCACTAGTAATATACACAGCAGAAAAGAAGTTAAGAAGGGCAGTCATCTTTCCCAAAGCTTCCGTTGCTAGGGATATAGAGAATGGATTGACAGAGGGTGAGAGGTCTCAAACAATGCCTTAGGGAAGAATGAGACACTGAAGGCAGGACCCTAGTTTTTTCAGAGACCATGACAAGCACTTCTGGGAAAAAAAAAGATGGATTCAAGAGATACATGACCAGAGGCAGTTGGTCAAGTATTTTCCTGGCATGTGTAATGCCCTCCTTCCACACCCTTCACTACACAACCAGCTGTGGTAGCACACACCTATAATCTTGACAGCCTAGAGGTAGAGGTAGGAGGATCACAAGTTCAAGGTTATCCTTGGCTACCCAGGAAGTTCAAGGCTACTCAGAGCCACATAAGACCCTGTTTGAAAAGAAAATAAAAAAGATCTATGAAGAGCAGAATTACTATGTCATGGCCATTAATCAATGGGTGTCTTGTTGGGGAGAATTGCGTAGGAAGGAGGGTTAAAAACTAATCATTCTTCCAATCTAAGAAGTACTAAATACAACTGTATTTATTTGTGTTTGGAAATTGCAGTTTTAATATGCATACAGACCCTTAGCCAGGCCCAGCAGCCCATGTGAAAGTGTTTCATCTCAGGATGAAGGCTCTTTCTTCTGGACTATTCTCCCACGGGTGGGAGTGGTGTAACCAGGCAGGGACTGTGATGATTGGTCCAAGAGGGCTGCACAAGGTTTAAGGCAGAGAAGTAATCCCAAGTGCTGGGTCCTAGGGTGAGGCAAGACAGTTGGAAGAAAAATGAGTCACACCGTCAGAAACTTTAAGAGACGGCGGGAGTTAGGAATTGGAGTGTGAGATAAGCTGGGGTGAATGGTTCAGGATAGAAGTCATGAATTCTGAAAGAATGAGGGAGGCCTGTTTTCATGCAGCGTGGGCAGGTTGGTACAGGCAAGTACCCGATAGCTTAACAGCATTGAGCAGGCCCAGACACCCCGTGTGGAATCCTAAGCCAGATTGTCTCTTCCCGGGGAGCTGGAAAAAAACGTACATTCTTATAATGAGAGCTGAGCTTCATGAGTGTGTTTCAGTTTCCCAAGATTTGCTGTTGAAATAGCTAACCTCGTTAAGAAGCAAGATTCCCCAAGTCCTCTCTACCGCCTCGAAACGTACGAGACAAATGAGTTCCGATTCTAAAGCTAAATCCAAGACTACCTTTCTCTTTCTATTGAATGACTGTTTCCAAAAGAGAAATCCTCTAATCTATAAACACAGGCTGCTGCACTCATTGTGTTGAACAGGTAGCAGATTAGTTACCGACAACTGACAGGCGGAGACTTAGAGCGCAGCCTTTGCGGGGCCAGTTTGCTGTAATGCGATACAGAGCACACACTTCACCTCCAGAGAGGCGGCTAGTTTAGCACAACTTTTTGCTCAGACTGCCATCCTCTATGTTGCTGTCTCAGGCTCCCCACAAGGCACATCGTGGCCTTGTGCTAGGAACAGACAAGAGAATAGGGAGAATGCAAACGTCCAGTGACATTTGTTTGTATCCATCACCGAATATAGTTGTAGCAATAAATCAGAAACGGTTTAAGAAGGAAAAAGCTTGGGAGAGGAAATCCAAGCTAGGAAAGGGTCACTTATGCTAGCTGTCTCTATTTCCAGGCTTGGATACATGCTGACCTTCATTCCCGCCCAAGGCCCCTCCCAAGCCTTCCATTTCTGGCAGCCTTTGCCATCACCAACCCTGACTGCCTGCAGTCCTGTGAGTGCCCTAAGACTGGCGGACTGGTTATAGGCAGTGATCTAGGAAAGAGAAGCTGGGGGGAAGGAGGCCGGAGCTCAGAAGTTGGAGAGAGGGAAGGTGGGGGCGAGAGATGCTGAGAGCTTCTCTTTCCTAGATCACGCAGCCATTTCGCCAGGAGCTCTCTTGGCCTCTTGGTTCCCAGGTGGTCTCTTGGTCCTCTTGAGCCCCTCTCTCTTCTCTTCCTCTCTCACTCTCCCTTCTCTCTCTCCTCTCATGGCTGCTCTGTTCTGCTGGCCATGTTCAGTCTGGACTCTTCCAGATGCCTCTAGCTCGTTTCTCCCTCGTATCTACAATAAAAACCCCCTCAACCATACCTTGGAGCGATCGTGTGTTCGTTTTCATTCACTTCCATATCTATCCCCACTTCTCTACCCCTAGCCCTCCTCCCTAACTCCCCTAGCCCTCCTCCCTAACTCCCCTAGCCCTCCTCCCTAACTCCCCTAGCCCTCCTCCCTAACTCCCCTAGCCCTCCTCCCTAACTTTGTGTCCCTCTTTGGCTTTTTCCTTGAGTCCGTCCATTTGGTGCTGCCCGTATACTCCTATACTCCTGGGTGTGGGACTATCCACTGGAGTATTGGTAACATACCAGGAAACACACCCTAAACAAAAACTGACTGTCCCTCCTCCAGAAGCCATCAAGTGTCCTTAGGTCCTCAGCTAGTAGCAGGAGCTCATGAGCCCCTGCCCCATCTAAGCTGGAATGTTGGCTGGCTCGATTTTGGGCAGGTATTATGCAGGCAACCGCAGCTGCTGTGATTTACTTCATTTAAGGCAGTGATCATGTCATACCTAAAAGGTATTATTTCACTTTTGTCCCTTCTGACCTTTTCGGAGATTGACCCTGAACCTTGAAGGGGGGTTGATATAAATGTCCCATTTGTGGCTGAACACTCCTCAGTCATTTATTCTCTACACTGTGAGCCATTGTGAGTTTCTGTCTTTTTTTTCCCCATTTTTCTTTATTAAGAAATTTTCTACTCACTCTACATACCACCCACAGATCCCCCTCCTCCCTTCCACCCTCCAGCCCTCCCTCCCTAGCCTCCCCACATCCCACATCCCCCAAATGAAGGTCTCCCATGGGGAGTCAGCAGAGCCCAGCACACTGAGCCTAGGCAGGTCCAAGCCCCTTCCCACTGCACCAAGGCTGCACAACTGTTCACTGCATAAAGAAAATTCTCTAGCGAGGTCTGGGAGCTACATGAATCCACTGGCAAAGAGACATGTATTATCAGGCAGTTTAATCCTATGTCCATTTAGCAGAACAATTATAGTAGATTGACTTCTGGGTCAGGTGAGCTCCCCCCAAATGGGTTTGTGGCCAGATTGGCAGTCATGAGTTCTCTCCTGTGGAGAGGGCCTTAAATCCAACCAGAAAGGGGTTGCTGATCCCCATAACATGTGTGTTACTATTGGGCCCTGGGAGTATCTTGCCAAGTTGAGTATTAGTGTAGTACACAGGGGTTCCATCTGGGTAAGACTATTGATGTATTCCCCCAGAAGCCTCCATAGCACGTTCTAGTACTATAAAAGCTAGGCATCTCCTGCTTTCTGACATTAGAGGAGCATGCTACAATGCCTAATTTTTATGTGATGCTGGGGATCCAACCCAGGGCTTGACGTATGTTAGGCAAGCGGTCTACCAACTGAGCTACATCCCCAGTCCCTAAGCTATAGTGAAAATAAAAGGCATTGTCTCTATTTTACAGATGAGGAAACAGAGTTCAAAGTGGTGAGCTAACAGACAAAACCTGTTGGCTTGGATTATATGATGGCCAGGAGCGATTATTGCCCCCAAACTATCACTACTTACAACTCCAAATAGGAAACAATATTTAGTAAGTATTCACTTAAAAAATTTAAGATTAAGAGGTTCTTAGGCCAAAGAAACAAACAGGAAGAACATAGACGTATTTTGATTAAAAGGGGAGAGAATGGCCTACAACCAGGGCACTGCTTGGGTAAGTCCTGGCTTCTTATGTGGGCTGTGAGAAGTTAAAGAGGTCATAGGATAGAGCAGTGCGCTTCATTTTATTTCTGCCTATAGCCCGGATACTTCCAACAGCATTTGAAACTACACTTAGCTACCATCTCCCTTTTAAAGCAATTTAAAATATTTAAGTATAAATATCTTCACAGAACAAGGGTATCTTCATTTGCTCCTTGAGCCTCCTTTGTTCCTCAGCTCTCCTAGTTTCATATTCCCTGCCCATTGATAAGAGTAGCTGTCTGCGAACTAGGTGGTCACTCCCAATCATTCTTCTCTTCTGTGCTGACACACATGATGTACCCAGAGCATATACAGTGTTTCAATTTGGGTAGAGGCCATAACATTCAAGGTAGGATGCTGGGACATTTTGCCAAAAGCAGCGCTGTCAGGCCAACAGAACAGAAGACGTTGGGAACGAAGGGTGGTACAACAGAGAAGCTGCTATGTAAGTTTTTAAAGTTTTTATGGGCGACACTTGCTTTTAAGCCTATTTCCTGATGTTTCTTGCATAAAATTAAGTTGATTTTAAATGGATATCAAAAAAATATCTAGGCACAAAACAAACCCAAATAACTGTTGACTTAGATGATCGGTGCTAGATGGAAAAAAGCCTGTTTCCTCTTTCTGTGGCGAGGTCTCCTTTAGCAGAGCGTCTTCCCAAAGGATTCAACAGGATGTAGAGCTTTGTTTTAAATGGAAGTCTGTGTGATTTAGGCTATCAATTAAGGCAGAATCAGGCATAATATAAATTACAATGACCCTGATGCTCTTACAAGGAATTGGTGTACCATTTCATTCCTTATGTCATAAATAAAAAAGAAAAGCCACATGTGACCAGACTTTGGATCCACCTAGCCCAAATGTTTTAAATGGAACTGAGGGGTATATTGATCACAGGAGTAGGGAGTCAGGCTTAGTGACAATCTCACGGGTTGATAACCATTTATAAGACCTTCTTATTAACATGTCCGGGCGTTTATCTTCTACAAATGTAGTCTAAATACCTCTTGAATCGTGACCCAGCCAACCTCTGCTGTCGCTGGATGTGGTGAGCCCCACAGGTTTTACTGCCCACTGTATAAAGTCTTACTTCCTTTTGTTTGTCTTGGATTTGACTCTTTCCAGTTTAAAGGTCTGTGCTGAGCTCTTGCCTGTAAATAGCTTTGATCATTATTTACTCTGTCCATATCCTTCATGATGCCTTTACAATGAGGTAAGTTGTGGGATCTACTTCATAAAGTGAACAGATACTGGATAATCCTGTGCCTGTAATGTGCTTAGACATGTGGGGCACACAAAGTGGGCCCTAAATATGTGATCACTGTTAGTAGTTCTGGTATCTACATTAACTTGGACATTTCTTGTATTTCTGTCTTTTGTGGGTGATGAATGGCAATACTTTGACTCTGTCTCTGTATAGCTTCTTCTTAGTCATTCCCACCATCCATCTGCTCGCCACTTCACACTTTGTTTTGCCTTTCTCTTGATTGTGACTCCGTGAACCAAACATTATGTTCCAGATATGGCTGCAAGGAAGTTTTAATTTTTTCCCAAAAATTGGATAACATGCAATTTTATTTCTAGTTTATTTCCTATTATTGCACAAAATTTTCTTGGGCTTCCTGGCCAAAACAGCCTAGTGAGCTAAACTTATTCCAGAAATAGCTTTCAATTCCTAGATTACTCTCCAGATTCATGGGTAACAGGGAAATTTAGTTATTGCTATTGTGTGGGGCTCTCTCTCTCTCTCTGTTTTCTAATGTTTTACCTTAGTCGAGTTTGGGTCACACATCTGTAATCCTACCACTGGGGAGGATGTGCAGGGGGGTTACAAGTTTAAGGTCAGCCTGGCTGCATACTGAGGCCCTCGCTAAAACAGCGTTTTACCCTACTGAGATAATATTTTGTTTCTTTTTTCCACTACCCCTACTCTGAGACATTTTCTTGCCATTTACCCCACATCAGTCTGGCATCTCATTACTGAGAAGAGCTTAGTACCAGCTACAAACACAGATCTACCACTGTGTGTACTGCAATGTACACCATTTATAATACTCAGCTAATATGGGCCTGGGAGAATTTTGGCTCTAACACACCCTCACCCAGAAAAGCACCCTCTTTTCCCCACCCTTTGGTTAATTCTGCTAGTTAGCTTCCCTTCCCCCCAAATCCCATAGGGACTCATTTAAAAATAACAAAAAATTCAACAAAAGGGGGTATTGCCAAGTGCTTTTTTAAAAGTCTTTATAAATTCTGTCCCTTTGGTTTCTCCTGTTCATCCAGTACTTGCTCTCTCTAGAAGCACTGATGGATCTGCCAGACAGGATATCTTCTCACAGAAATCCTCTTCCTTTGGAAAAGTCATGTTGTACTGTGACTCCGGATTTACTAATCAGCTATACAATAACTTTTGGAAATGTTCAGATCTGCTTCTTTTTTAAAGAAATATTCTCCAGAGTCAGCAAGATAGCTCAGAGAGTAAAGGGGTTTGCTGCCAAGCCTGATGATCCAAGATGAAGCCCCGGGACCCAAACGGTGGAAGGAGAGAATCAATTTCTATAAGTTATCCTTTGACCTTCACATGAATGCTGAGGTGCATGTGCATGCACGCGTGACACACACACACACACACACACACACACACACACACACACACAAGCATGCATGAAGACACGAAATTAAATATTAATTAATTAATATGAAAAAGATATATTTTCATAGAACCATTAAATGTCACTGCCGGCACATAAAATCTCATTAATATGTTAGTCTAAACAAGACCTGCATTAGGACAACACCATCTGATATGCCAGCCAACATGTATGGAGAAAAAAATCTCAAATGGCCCCATCTCTAGGTGAAGAGCTACAGGCAATCAGTGGCTGTAGATTGAGAGTAGAACAATCAGTCTTCTCCAGGGACAGAGCCCATAATAGATTATCCAGTCCTAAGTGGTCAGCCCAAAATGCATATACATACGAGCATCACTAAATGGACACAGCAGGTTTTTGCATGTATGTTTAACAATAAGAATAATTAAAGAAGATGTGAATCTGAGAGGTAGTGGAGGGGCTTGAAGGGAGTTGGAGAAAGGAACGGTAGAGGTGGAAATGATGCCAATATTGTAAACATGTGTAAAATTCTCAAAAGTAAAAAAATAATTTTAAGAAAAAGTCAGTGTTGGAAATTGCATTTGAGATTGCCAAATTCTCTTTGGCTTACAGTAAGGAGACGGAGGCCTTTCCTAAGCTTAATTTTCATCTATTATTCAGTTAATGATTTCAGAAAAGTTCTTGCCCCAGATTATGTTGAACTATTTTGCAAGATCCAATGGGTATTTTTTCCTTGGAATATGCAGTAGATATTATTTATGGAAGGAAATTTGGAAGACTCGAGCTTACAAGAATGGCTCCTTACATCTTTGTTGTCATAGAAGTTGCTTTCACCTCAAAAGTTTCCTTTTTGTTTCATTATTCTTTTCATGAATTCTATCCAAAGCATAGGAATATTCTTCTTGCTGTCAAAAACCACTTGCCACTTTATTTAGTGTCCACTATGCCCCAAACCCTGTCCTCGGCCTTTTATTGTAGAAAATTCAGATGTGATTTCCCAAACTGTGAAGATAAAGAAGAGGACAGCTTTGGGCTGAAGTGACAGTGCCCGGATAAAGACAGCATCTAGTTCTAGGTATAACTCTTTCTGTTGACCTGAGCAATAAACTACAGACGGATGGACTTCATGAAATTCACTGAGCTATTGGACACTCTAGATGTGTGCAGCTTTCGTAGGCATATCACACTTTAATGGGTGTTTAGAGAAAAAGAACCCTCGTTTGTAACTTTAAATCAATTTTGAGTATATTTATTTACTTTTTTCTTGGAAAAATGATAAAACTGTAGTACAGGTAAAAAAAAATTGCTGAAGACCATAGAATGCACATATAAACCAAACTAAGATTTGGGCCTAGGTAGTATGGTTCCAGAGTCTTTGTTCTAAACTTCTATGAGGTATATACCACCTCTCAGATTTGGTCCATTTCTTTGTCGCCGCTGTTCATTGTCTAGTCCTGTGCTAACCTTTTACCTGGCTCTTACTGAATCTACTTCTCTATAATCCCTCATCATATATCATCACCCCTCAATTCAATACAAATGTACATTTAGAAAACAAAATGAAAAGGAAAAATGCTTTAATGACATCAGTTCTCTGACCTTGCCATCTTCTTTGCTGTCCATTAAAAGAAAATAAGCTACATAAAGCCTAAATTGCAACTCTAAAAATGTTCTCTATGGCTTCTAAAAGCCACTCTAAAAACCCTCCCAACCTGTCTCTAAGAGCAGAAATTACACTCTAGTATCTTCTCTATCCTAACCATGATATGAATTCAGATAATCACACAAGGCAAAGTGGAGTGCAGTGAACTTGACCCTTGCTTTTTAATGTGACTCTGAGCCAGGCAAACTTTGGTAAATAAGGATTAGCCTCTTAAAGACTCTTGAGGGCTTGCTAAGAGTGTAAGAGAGTCTCAGGAGAAGGAACAAATGAACAGAAAAGTAGAAATACTACTTTTGTGAGTTTTCATTTCATTATCAGATTTAATGTCACAACAGATTATACTACTTATCTCATTTGGCCTCCATAATTGCATGTGGCTATTAGTGGTCCCCATATTGCACAAAAAGAAAACAAGTCTCAGACCTTAAGTTCAGACAGCCAAGAAGGTCCATCAGACTGTCCAAGGATGGTCATTTCCCCCCTTTTTTATTGTACGACCTTTCACAAAGTGAGTGTTGTCATCTATTTTATAGTAGAAATATCAGAAGAAAAGAACGTGATGTAACACTTTCTATAGGCAGCACAAAGCTACGTTGTGTTAGAAGTACAAGGTGATTTGAACAACTGTACTGATCAGCTAATTCTGTTCATTACAGTGGATCATGAAGGCCAGTCACACTTATTCTTTTAATCTCTCTGTCAGAGAACATGGAAGAAAAAAACAGTTAAAATATTATAGACCTTATCACCTTGGAAACAAAAATTCACACTAAAGCGTTATTATGAAATGATAGTAATAATTAGAGTAAATTCCAATCAAGTCAAAGCCATTTTAAACTCATGATCCTCTGAGGCTTATCTATTAATCACAATTGGTTTCCACACTCCAGATATAGGCAATGCAGCACTCCCCTCCATTCTTCTAACCAGTTTAAATGAATGCAGTGGCATAGAGCATGAGTTCTGATGCCTTACTCCTTGGCTCCAGGTCTCATTTCACCTCTCAATAACTATTTGACTTTGGTTTATAAGATTGCCCAATTTTGCAAATAAAAGTATATTTGAGTTTCAGGTAGATGGTGATTTTTCAATATAATATGCAGCATACAGAATTATGCACCATTGATTTAAAATTCAAATTGAATTGTCATTCTACATTTGTCTACTCTC